TCAAATTAGGGATACTCATCCTGTATCCTCACTAATTGTAAAGTAAAATGAGCTAATTTATTGAAATTAACTCTTGTCTTAGAGATTAGGCTGTCTCTAAAATTTCTCTTGCAAGTAGCTATTTAAATTCAGCCAGGTGCTGGTGGCTCACACCTGTAATCCTAGCTACTCAGAAGGCTGAGATCTGAGAATTGAGCCAGCCGTAGCAGAAAAATCCTTGACACTTTTATGTCCAATTAACCAGCAAAAGCTGGAAGTGGAGGTGTGGCTCAAGTGGTGGAGCACCAGCCTTGAGCACCATAGCCAATGAGAGTGGAAAGTGAGAGGCTCTGTGTCAAAAAAATCATAAAAATACTTTATGTTCATCTTATTTCCTTGGGATAAACTTATGGGATAGAATTATAGTGTAGAGACTTCATGGCCCAGCATTTGTTATGTGATACAGTCTAACAGAACAAAGCCTGTTGCCATGTCATTCTGATTCCATGATGAACTTCAGAACACCTGTCAAATAACCAAAATAAAATTTAAGAAAACCCACAACCTGTTGATGACTAAAGTAACATTATATATTAATGTAGTATTATTAAGCTCTTGATGATTTAATATCTCAGCTGCCCTTCCATGAATATGTTATAGCTTGGCGTTTTCTTTGATAACTGGCTGTGTTAATTTTTGTAACTTTCTTCATGGAAGTTCTGAGCATTCATTTGGATGTGAGGTCATTTTTGTCATTGGTATGGTGACTGCATCCATAGCCAATGGTTGAGTATGGCAACCGTACTTTTATTAGGCTTTGTAACAGCTTACGGCTGGTCCTTTAAGGAAGTTTTTATGTGTTTTGTTTGTAACACAGAACCAAAATGAATGTGGTTTTGTGTGAACTCCTTGATCTCGCATATATATTTCCTGTATGTTTTTTTTTTCAATAATTACTTGCCTGCTTTCTTTTTCTGGTCATGCTTTACTGGCTAAAACAATGTTAAGAAGTTGAGATAGGTATGACCCATTTTCAGACTACTAGAAGTATATTCTTCTCCTAGTAAAAAATTTTTAAAAAGCTGGGGAAAATGGTGGCTCACACCTGTGATCCAAGCTACTCAGGAGGCTGAGATCTGAGGATCATGGTTGAAAGCCATCCGAAGAAGGAAAGTCCATGAGACTCATCTCCAATTCACCACCAGAAAACAGAAGTGTATCTGTAACTTAAAGTGGTAGAGCACTAGCCTCGAGTGAAAAGGTTCAGGGAAGCACCCAGGCCCTGAGTTCAAACCCCATGACAAACAAAAAAAAGAAAAAAGAGCAGAGATAATAGAAGAATAGAAGATAGAAACCCAACTAAGTGTAAGCATGTGTTTTTATTTTAATTTAGCAGAAAGATTTCTAGAGGTCATTTAAGAGTGCAAAATGGGACCTTTGCCCACAGGATGCCAGAGAACAGTGTAATTACATTCCAATGTGATATTTATGTTGATAAACTATAGCTATACAAAGTTTTGTTCATTCTACTGAATAATTTCCCCTCACAGAACTAAGTAGATGTTGAGCCCTTTAGCTCCAATCAATAGAAGCCTGTCTTGTGTGTGTATGTGTGTGTGTGTGTGTGTGTGTGTGTGTGTGTGTCTATGTGTGTCTGTGTGACTGTATGTCTCTGTGACTGTGTGTCTGTGTGATATATTTTGCCCCAACTGCTTCCAAATTAGAAACCTTTTACATTTCTGGAACATACCACACTTAAGTTCTAAAATTTATACTAGCAAAACAATATCAGTATACTAAACATTTCAGTGTTTTGCCTTTGCTTTCCCAGGGAGATGAATAGAGACCTTGAACATTTTCAATATTATCTAGGTTACCATGGCAGTATTTTGTAATTTGCGAGAACTGAGAAATCTTGTAAGTTGTTTTGTGCTCTGGCTTGGTAACCTAAACAAATGAACAAGTACATCGTGGAGAGGCACAAATGAATCCTTTGTCATTTTCTTGCCTGCTGCTGGGAAAAGTTGACATAGGAATGAGTATGTTGTCATTGCCATCTTAGTGACAAATAGGAGTCCCAAGGTTGGTTCACCCTTCCCAGGGAAGGGTCAATTTAGAAGATTTAAGATCTGAAGATTGGAGCTGGGAAGGTGGCTCAGTGGTAGAGGGCTTGCCTTGCATGCATGAGGCCCTGGGTTCGGTTCCTCAGCACCCCATAAGCAAAAAGAAAAAAGCCGGAAGTGGCGCTGTTGGCTCAAGTGGTAGAGCGCTAGCCTTGAGCTGAAAAGCTGAGGGACAGTGTCCAGACCCAGAGTTCAGGCCCCACAACCAGACTCAAAAAACAAACAAACAAAAAGAAAAGATGTGAAGATTGCAGTTCAAAGCCAGCCTAGACAGGAAAGTCTGTGGGGCTCTTATCTCCAGTTAACCTCCAAAGGAAGCCAAAAGTAGAAGTGTGGCTCAAGTGGTAGAACACCAACCTTGAGCAAAGAAAAAAGAAAGCTAAGGGACAGCATCCAGGCCTTGAGTTCAAGCTCCAGTACAGACACACACATACACAATCTTAATTTTCCACTAATGGTAATGGACAGGCATGGCACTCAAGTGCCTATCCTCCCAGGAGCACAAACCTCTATATGATTAATTATCTCAGTCATCTCATGGAAGTCTCCTGAGGTAGACAGCTGACTATTTCCTCTTATTAAAAAAACAAACAAACACAAAACTAACTAATTAGATTTTCTTTTATTCCACATTCTGAGTTCTACAACTAGGTTAGCTACCTTATAGACCCTATCTTCAGCTGTCCAGTGGGTAAATGCAGCTTCAAAATCACTAGCCTCTTTCCACTAGGAGCACCAGCCTAGCCCACATCTGGCGTGTTGAAGTTAAAAGCGAATGGGGATGACAGTTTGGCAAGATAAATGGGCTAGGCTAGAGCTGACAGGAAGAGACAGACAGTGGCTGGGTTAGGGCCTGGCATCTCCCTGGCGTGGATGGTTTGCTGTTGAAATTAGCTTAATGAGGCTGGTCTTCATTACACTTAGTAATCTCTTCATTACTGCCCGCTGCGGAGAATAGCCATCAGGCCAGAGGCGCCCTGGGCTTTTTTACCCTGCTCCATTGTGTTGACTGAGGGCTTTTCAAGGGTACAAGAGGAATGCACAGTTTTAGTAACCTTTCTTGCCTCTCATCCTTTCATTTTTCTCTTCCAAGCCAACCTGGACAGCAGGTCACCTCCTGAAGGTGACCGTGTATGTAGTGAGAGTCAGCTGCCAGTGGTTCACACGTGTAATACTCGCTACTCAGGAGACAGATCTAAGGACAGCGGTTTAAAGGCAGTCAAGGCAGCAAAGTCTGTGCAAAAAGCCAGAAGTGGAGGTGTGGCTCAAGTGGTAGAGCACCAACTTTGAGTGGAAAAATAAATCTAAGAGACAATACCCAGGCCTGGAGACCAAGCCTCAGTCCTGGCAAGCACACATGTGTGCGCGTGCGCACGCACACACACACACACACACACACACACACACTTAAATAAATGTATGAAATGAGCAGTACATTCCTGGCCTTGCTTTCCCAATATGAATAGTCCATTCAGCCTTCAACTGTCTTGTCATTGTGGTTCTATCGCCTTGGGTAAACTGCAGATGAGCCACTGGCGCCAGGCTGAATGCTGCCATTTTAACTTTTTCTTTCATTAATTATGGGCTTAGGTGTTGCTGCATTGACCTTGTTCTCATTATCCTTTCCCCGAAACTTCCCTGAAAGGGAGGATTTTTAAACTTGAAGGATTATGCTAAAGTTGTACAGTATACTCAGGGTGGGGACTAATTATGAGGTTTGAAAGCTTCAGGTGGCTGGGTTAGTAGCATGACTAAAATAGTGCTTTCCTAAATTGGGAACAGCTGGGCTGTGTCGCTTGCTGGTATAAAAGTCCATAGTGGAGCTGTGGGTGGTAAAGAAGTCTTTGCCTGGTGGAATCGAAGGAACTAAAGCCAAAGGTTCCTTTTCCCTAGACTCACCGTAGGTAAGTGCCCCTACGTGGACTGTCTTTTTTGTTTGGTAGACATTGTGATGGTTATAGATCAGAATATTGTTAGTCACTAATTTTCCCATGCCATTTGTTTTTTTTTAATTTTTATTTATTTTTTATTGTGAAAATACTGTACAGAGGGGTTACAATTACATGGGCAAGATAATGAGTACATTTCTTATCAAGCATTGTAGCCTCCTCCTTTGTTTCCCCTTCCCATCCCTTCCCATTCTCCTCCCACCCCCCACCCAATCTTCCCATGCCATTTGTATACATTATTATATCCTTCAACAAATTTAACATGTTTCATAAATGAAGCATAGCTAAGGCTTTGGCTATCTCTTTCTCTTTTGCATTTTGAAGGCTCTAGGCTTTGTGCCTCTCCGAATACCAACAGATAAACTGAGACAGTGCTGCTAGAAGTGTCTTGACTGTGTAGTTCTGGAATCTGTTCTTAAAAGTAGTTACCACACAGTCCAAAGGAGATATATATGAAAATTAGAAAGTGGGTATTTCGACAAGTGCAGAGAGTAATAATTATTCACGGTATAGACACAACTCACCCAGGAGGTTAATTCTTGCTTTAAATTTCATAGAAAAGATCCAGGCTCAGGAAGGAGTGATGTGGTCTCTGGGCAGGTTCTAGGTTATTATGACTTCATAGTTAGCAACAAGTAATAGCGCCCCAGGAAAGTTTTGCCATGTGGGGGCCTGACTTCTTTGGAAAGAAATTGAAAGAAAACTGATGGGTAGAATGTTCCTATTTAATTCTTACGTCAGCTCAAAAAGAGACAAGAATTCCAAGATTAAACAGTTCACTATTTCTCAAATGAAAGTCGATCTTGGCAACATTCACTTAGTTCTGACAGTGTCTTTGTAAAGCAAAATGGCTCTGACACTTGATTCCTTATTTTGAGAATGTTTTTGTTTTGGATGGCTGATAATTGGACAAGCAGAGTTTCTGAATGTACTTTTGTTCTGTTTTTAGGTAAGGCAGCAGCATCTTCCGTGCGGAAGGAAAATCCCTTCACGAAAGCCATTCGCCGCATGGGAAGATCAAATTCAACCGCTGCCGACTGCATTTGGTATTAGGAAACAAGATTCTAAGAGTCCATGTTCATCTGGGAAACAGAAGGATTCAAGAAAGTTAGCTTTCCACAAAGAACGAGAACTTACACCATCTCCTTTTTGATCTGAACACTTGGGGAACCATGGATATCATAGAAACAGCAAAACTTGAAGAACATTTGGAAAATCAGACCAGTGATCCCACAAACACTTACACAAGACCCGCAGAGCCTGTGGAAGAAGAAAATAAAAATGGGAACAATAAACCTAAAACCTTATCCAATGGCTTGCGAAAGGGCACCAAAAAGTACCCGGATTATATCCAAATTGCTATGCCCACAGACTCGAGGAACAAGTTTCCCCTAGAATGGTGGAAAACGGGTATTGCTTTTGTGTATGCACTCTTCAACCTGGTTTTGACAACCGTCATGATCACAGTCGTGCATGAAAGGGTCCCTCCCAAGGAGCTCAGCCCTCCACTTCCAGACAAATTTTTTGATTACATTGATCGGGTGAAATGGGCATTTTCTGTATCAGAAATAAATGGGATTATATTAGTTGGCTTGTGGGTCACCCAGTGGCTATTCCTGAGATACAAGTAAGTATGTCTGGGTTTTTTTGGAGGGGCGGGGGGGGGGGGGGAGGGGCCTGTTTTTGTTTGTTTGTTTGTGCCAATCCAGGCTTGAACCCAGGGCCTGGGCACTGTCCCCGAATTCTTTTGCTCAAGGCAAGTGCTCTTCCACTTGAGCCACAGCTCTACTTCTGGTTTTTTGATGGTTAATTGGAGCTAAGAGTCTCATAGATTTTCCTGCCTGGGTTGGCTTCGAACCCTGTGATCTTACCAGATCTCAGCCTCCTGAGTAGCTAGGATTGTAGTCTTGAGCACCAGCACCCACCCAGTTCTTGGCTTATTGTTAAGAGAGCTGATGTTATTGTAATTGAAATGACTTTCTTCAGCTTCTAACCATTTTAGCCTTACTAGATATCAGATGAAAGGAACAATAGATCTACCACACTGGATAAATTCAGTCACTCTTTTTTCCAGGACTGTGTATGGAATAGGTTTGAAGCTAAGTTGAGGAATAGCAAGTTGGTGGCAAGCCTGGTGGGTGACTCAGATTTCATGAATTTCAGGAGCAGTGCCTTTTTCCAGCAATGTGGTGCTATGGTATTTTATTGGAAAAAAAATTAAGAGGCTTGGAGTAGCATGCTTGTGATGTTTGGGGTTCTTGCCAGGTTAAGGAGAGTAGGCGGGGACGCTTCTTTCTCCCTTACTCAAGATGAGATGACTCAGGTGGTCAACTCATCAATAGCTTGCACTGAGGTGTGTTTGTCTTTAGAAGTTCCAATTCCTTCAGAAATTTAGACTCAGCGGCCAGACATCTAGTCACAAGTATCTGTTGAAGAAACTGAATTTAGAACTGGTATTCTGTGGCTTGGGTTTTAGATTTCTAAAAGAAAATTCTTCTTTCTTTTCCTCTGGCACCATCCAGGGGCTCGTGGTCTACTGGGTTCAGCCACTCCATCTCCCTTCCCCTGGTTTCAGAATGGGAGGGAATCAGGAGGGAGCAAGGCCAGGTTTGTTCTTTTCTCAAAAGTATTTTTTTTTGAGGGAGTGGGGGGTCCAGTCGTGGGGCTTGAACTCTGGGCCTGGGTGCTGTCCCTCAGCTCTCCAGCTCAAGGCTAGCACTCTACCACTTGAGCCACAGCGCCACTTCTGGCATTTTCTTTTTGCTTATGTGGTGCTGAGGAATAGAACCCAGGGCCTCATGCATGCAAGACAAGCACTCTACCACTGAGCCACCTTCCCAGCCCCTCAAAAGTATTTTAAAATTGGGCACAGTTCTGAAATAGTGGTGTCTGGCTATGTGAATTCAGACTTCCAGTCTATAAAATCTAAGGACCCTCACAGCCTCTTACATCCCATTCTCCATTCATATCTTTGACTTCTACTGAGAGTTTAGTAATTAATCACAAAATCTGCATCTGATCAAAATTCTACTCATAGTTTGGGGCTTAAAAAAAAAAAACAAACCTATGCTAGCCTCATTGATACATCTTGAAAATTCAGTGTCAAATAAGATTTCAGTGTTCATGCCACAAGAATATTTTATTCATTTATGCATTCATTCATTTATTTATTTATTTATTTATATCTTTCTACCAGTACTGGGTCTTGAACTCAGGGCCTTTCACTCTTGCTCAGCTTACTTGATCATGGCTGGTACTCTACCGCTTGAGCTATGTCTTTAATTTCCAAGATCATTTTGTGTTTTTTTGTTTTGTTTTGTTTTGGTTGATCACCGTGTTGCTTGAACTCTGGGCTTGGGCACTATCCCTCAGCTCTTCAGCTCAAGGCGAGCGCTCTACCACTTGAGCCACAACACCACTTCTGGTTTTCTAGTGGTTTATTGGAGATAAGAGTTTCACGGACTTTCTTTGGACTTTCCTTGTCCGGGCTGGCTTTGAACCATGATCCTTAGATCTGTCTCCTGAATAGCTAGGATTATAGGCATGAGCCACCAGCACCCAGCCCAAGATCAGTTTTAGAACAAAGAATTTGTGCTGTAGGTTTTTCTAGTTAGGTGTTACTCTGTGATTATTAGAAGAATTCAACCTGCCTTTGCCAAAGACTTTCCCAAATGTAACTCTGTAGTTTTGAAAACTTAATCTACAAATGTAGATAATTCCTAAGCATTTTCCTTAATATAAGTCTCTAAATGTTTCCTGGGTATGTTTAAATAAAAGACAAAGCTACCAACTGTCCTGTATTTACTAAGAAATGAATGGCTTCTCCAAGTGTTCTTCATGGTGTACTTGATGCTAGAAGCAAAGAATAAGGAATTGGAATGTGGCAAGTGCACCTGTCTAGCAAGCACAAGGCTCCTGGTTCAATCCCCAGTACTGGCAAAACCAACAAACAAAAGCAAAGAATGTATTTGTTGAGTGTCAGTATTTTTCTTTTTTGTGTGTCTAGAATTGACATGGCATAACAGACCTCCTTAGGCCCCAGATGTTTTCTTTTTCCTTTCATTTGCAGTTGAATTTTCTTACTGTGTATGTGGAAAGATAAATTTTCCAAAGTCTGGGTAGTAGCTGTATGATATCCTGTGGTAGAGCTTTGTACCATGTTTTATTGGAATCATCTCCTAGCTGATCTCACTGCCTCTCCATTGCCATCTTCAATTTCACCCAGGCAGAACTCAAGTAGCCTGCCTGGACCACACATTTTGTGGTATCGGCTATCTCAGTCATAGCTGGTATGGGTTTGCCTTTTTACTTTTTACTAACTGGTGGAATAATTCTCATAACCTGTTTGAATATCAGCCAAAGGAGAAATTCTATTTGTACTCTCTCCCCCCACTTTAAAAGCACCTCTGAGTGTGGTGCCAGTGCAACATGCCTATTCGGGAGGCTGAGACCTGAGGATCGTGGTTCGATTCCAGCCCAGGCAAACAAATCAGAGAGACTGTTATCTCCAATTAACTAGCAAAAAGCTGGAAGTAAGGGTGTTGCCCAACTGGTAGAGCACCAGCCTAAGTGAAAAAGCTAAAGGGTAGCACCCAGGTCCTGAGTTCAAGCCCCAGTACTGGCAAATCAAAAAAAAAAAAAAAAAGAAGGGAGGGAGGGAGAAAGGGAGAGAGGAAAGGAAAGAAAAAAAGAAAAGTTCACTTCTCAAAGATTGTATGTTTCACCTGTTAATTTGCTGTTTTGAGGCTAATGGAGCTCAGATGCTGGAATTGACTCATAATTTCTGTTTATTATTTGACTTTGCCCAGTAGCTCAGAGCATAATTCAGAACAGTGCTTCTGTTGTAGGGCCTGGGATTGAATCAAAGGATGAATCAGTGCTTGCTTAACCAGGGGGACAGATTACAGTTTGATGGCCTGTCCTTTTGGGGACTACAGAGGCAGAACTGAAGTGGCAAGTCTTAGAACAAATACTTTAATCTACCAGCCTAGTCTAGGTAATATACCTTTCTACGTTATTTTACCTCAACGTGTGTGTGTGTGTGTGTGTGTGTGTGTGTGTGTGTGTGTGTGTGTGTGTGTAAATATATATATATTTTTTGGGTCCGGTTGTGGGGCCTGAACTCTGGGCCTGGGCGCTGTCCCTCAGCTCTTCAGCTCAAGGCTAGCACTCTACCACTTGAGCCACAGCGCCACTTCCAGCTTTTTTCTTTTTGCTTACGTGGTGCTGAGGAATCGAACCCAGGGCCTCATGCATTGCAAGGCAAGCGCTCTACCACTGAGCCACCTTCCCAGCCCCCTGTGTGTATAAATATTTACCCTGGAATAGTCTTTAAATAGCTGCTGATGACAGGCATCTAATATATATATATATATATATATATATATATATATATATATATATATATATATATATATATATATATTTGTCATAATTCTTTTAAATTAGAAATCCTAGGAGTTGGCTGATCCTTGATTCCTATCAGACCCATAGTCTTGGAGAATACTTAAATATGCCCCGATAGTCTAGAAATCATTGGTTCCAAAAGTTTGGGTGCTCTGAGAGTAGACCTACAGTAATATGTCCTAGAGAAGTTACACCTTAAAATCCTAAGGGCTGTGTGCATCTCCATTTGTTTTCCATTTCCAAAGCCCCCAATTACAAATCTAAGAATAAAAAGGGCACTATCACCATGACTGAAAGTGAGGACGCTCAGAACCTTGGTGTTCATTTAGGAACTATGGGGCAATCATGCCAGGAGCAGGGCTCCTGCTTGGGGCACAGTGTGCTCAAAGTCAGCCACCAGGAACTACTGCCTTGGGCTGAGAATCAGGAAGAGAATCTCAGGGCACGGTGCCCACCAACGCAGCATTCATCACCAGCTCTTGACAGTGAAAAGGGGGATTTTCGTTGTTTATGTCAGTGCCTTCCCTCACCCCCTCTCTTCTTTCTTACCTTTTAATTCTTGGCCTGTTCTCTTATTTTTTAACTTGTTTTTGATACTTGAGAATGTAACAAAAATCTTGGCCACATGAGTGGGGTATGGTAGGCGATGGTTTGGAGCAGGTATATGTTGTATAATGTTCAAATATAATGCACCATAGCTGTCTCTCCAAACTCTTATCATTTCTTTCTGTCCCCCACCCCCCTTTTTTGTGCTAGGATGAAATCAAGGCCTCATACTTGATAGGCAGTCATTTTAAACGTTAGCTACATTCCTATAGCTACACTTCAGTCCTCTGTGTATGTGTGTGTGTGTGTGTGTGTGTGTGTGTGTGTGTATGTATATATTTGCACGTGCGCACACCAGTGTTAAAACTTGAATTAAGGGCCTCACACTTTTTCACTCAAGGCTGGTACTCTACCACTTGAGCTACGCCTCCACTTCAGTTTTTGCTGGCTTATTGGAGATCAGAGTTCTCTCTGATTTATCATCTTAGACTGGTTTTGAACCTTAGTGCTCAGGTCTTAGCCTCCTCAGTAGCTAAAATTGTAGACATGAGCCACCAACATTATAATTTCTTTATGGTAGAAATACTCAAAATTCCTTCTCCTAGATTTTTGGAAATGCACGTAGACTACTGTGACTGGTATGCCATGCAAGAGCACACTGAAACCACTTGCTCCTGACTAATCTAGGACATCTTGGTCCATCTGTCTGCATTCCTCCTCCCCCCAGTGCTCTTCCCAATCTCAGTGATCACCATTCTAACTCTCAATTGCTAGGAGATCAACTTTATTTTTAGATTTCACATAGAAGCAAGAGCCTGTGGTCCTTGTGTGTGTAATATTACTGGCTTATGCTTTCAACCTAAGGATCCCTAGTTCCATCCAAGTTGCAGATGACAGCATTCATTCATCTTTATAGTATTCCACTGGTATATGTACCACATTTATCTATTCATTGGTTGAGATTGATACTTAGATTGTTTCCATTTCTTGCTTATAGTGAATAGTGCTGAAAAGAATATGAGCTTAAAATCTTTTGGGGGAAGCAGGGACAAAAAAGGAAAAGCAATTCCTGCACTTCTATTTTTCCTTCCCTCTTTCTGCAAAATCAAGACTGAGTAAAATAAGAGTAAATTGATCTGTTTACAGTTTTACTACAAAACGTCCTTACATATATTATGGTACTTTGGCCATATTTAAAATGGAAAAAAAAAATCTATTCAGTTCAAGGCAAGAGTTCAGGTGTAAGTTGTCACAATAGCTTTGGCTGATCCCCAGGTAAACCTTGCTTATTATATAGCAGGCATCTAATTGGTTGTCACACATCCCTATGTGTCCAATTATGTATATCACCTGCTTCATTAGTTTATCCCTCTGAGACCACGGCTCACTTACACCTTTGATATGTTCTCAAGAGGATTTTATTAATCCGTGACTTGACTGAAAAAGCAAAGAGGTTTCATTGAATTCTCTGGCAAAGAGTGACTATTTTAGGAGAGAGGATTATCTAGATTTTTTCATCAGCTTTAGCCATCTCCCCATCCCATGCCCACACACTTTGTCCTTTGGGACCCCAAACCATCTGGATACACTGAGATATGTGAAATTCACCATGGAATTGTTGGATGGGCCGCTCATAAGGAAGCTTCTAAACGCTGTGAAACTGACGCTTGTTGATGGCATTCTGTCATTATTCTTTAATAGGTTACCCATTGCTTTCTCTTACAGAGGAATAGAAACAGCAAGTCAGCTTGCTTATCTGCATGCCTCTGCTTTCTTTAGGTCAATAGTGGGACGCAGATTCTTTTTTATCATTGGAACTTTATACCTGTATCGCTGCATTACAATGTATGTTACCACACTCCCAGTGCCAGGAATGCATTTCCAGTGTGCTCCAAAGGTAAGACTCTGAGCTCCCAACGAGAGGAAATCAAGAAAACAATTATTGATTGCCTACTCGGTCATAAATTCTTCTACATACCTTCATAGGTCTTAACTAACATCTAATATGCAAATCTATATTTCTTTAGATTGGTAGGAGCAGATATAAAAAGGTGTTCATTAAGAAATATACATCTTTATGCTGGGTCCTGGTGACTTATGCCTGTAATCCTAGCTCCTCAGGAAGCTGAGGTCTAAGGATCTCAATTTGAAGCTACCCCAGGCATAAAAATGCATGAGAGTCTTATCTCCAACTAACCAGCAAAAAGGCAGACGTGGATGTGTTGCTCAAGTGGTAGAGTGCCTTGAGCAGAAAAAAAAAAAACTAAGTGAAAGAATGCCCTGAATTCAAGCCCCAGTACCAACAACAACAAGCAAAAAAGAAATGTATGTCTTTATTTATACAATACGTTTTCTACTAACTTGAGAATTACTGTTTTTCTTCTTTTCCACTTTCTTATTTATTTCCACATCCAGACATTCACACAGTAGATACTGGACCCTAAAGTAACTGATAGGAGTCTCTACTTCTATTCTGTTGAGGGGTGACCAATAGGAAATAAATACATCATGTGCCCTATGGTAACAACACTGACAGTAGGAACTGTCTTATAGAAAGTTCAAGAAAGAGTTTTCTTTAATAAGCCAGTACTTCAACAGGAGCCACGTGAGGGAGGAGCTACCTCAAAGAGCTAAGAGCCCCTTGGCCAAAAAAAAGATGGAGTGGGGAGAGGAAAGGTTAGTTACAGTGGGTTGGAGGAAGAGCACTGAGCAGAGAAAGTGGATGGTGCTGGCCACGGGTCTCAGAGGATCTTGAGGCCAGGGTGGGAATCTGAACATTGAGTGTAACAGCAGAAGGAATGGGAAGCCATTCAACTTGGGCTGTGTGTGCTGGATCAACTGAAAAGTGCTCGTGACTCGGGGGAATGGGCGGGAGAGAGGAAAGTTGAGCCCATAGTTTTTCCACAGTTGGCAAAATGGAGGGGCCTTTTTGCAGATTCTCATGTGAGGATGTCTCTTGAAACGGTCCTAGGCAACAATTCCTTTCCCCCACACCAAACAGGAGAAAACATAGTTCCTGACAGAGCTGATTTACAAAATGAGCTTACAAAAATGATGGGCTTTCTGGACAAAGGAGCAGAGTGTAACATTCTATTTTACTGAACACTGTGCAGATGCCGGAGGTGAAAGAAAAATAGAGGTGTTTGAAAGCAGCCAGCCATCTCCCTTACCAAATATAGGTGTGGTTTGGAGAAGCTGTAATTTTCTAAAGCCCTCAAAGCAGAAAGTTGTCTGTCATTAAAACTGTGTACATATTGAGTTTAAACATTGGTTGACTTTTTAGTGAAACTAATTTAAGGCACAGAAGGAGTTCAGAAGCATAATAAACACTACAGATGGCCTCATTTTCTGTGTGTTCAATGGAGAAATGACCTGAATAAAGGAAGGCAGAGCCATTCTAGCAACAGATGGGGTTTTCAGGGACGGATTGCTATGATTACACAAAGAAGGTAGATTAGAGATTGTCCTGTGTGGAGGGGGCTGGGAAGGTGGCTCAGTGGTAGAGCACTTGCCTCGCATACATGAGGCCCTGGGTTCAATTCCTCAGCACCACATAAGCAAAAAGAAAAAAGCTGGAAGTGGCTCTGTGGCTCAAGTGGTAGAGCGCTAGCCTTGAGCTGAGGGACAGCGCCCAGGCCCAGAGTTCAAGCCCCACGACCGGACCAAAAAAAAAAAAAAATTAAAAAAAATAATTTGCTCCAACTGGCAATCCAGGCATTGGTTTGCTGTCAAATAGCTTATGTTCTTCCAAGTGTGTTTAGATAAATGTTGGCCCATTTGTTATTAAATGATGAGATGAAATGATTTTATTTTCCTGGAACATTTTGCTATATACAAGACTATTTGGGCCAGGTGCTGGTGGCTCACTCCTGTAATCCTAGCTATGTAGGAGGCTGAGATCTGAGGATCACAGTTCAAAACCAGCCCATGCAGGAAAGTCCACGAGACTCTTATCTACAATTCACCACCAGAAAACCAGAAATGACTCTGTGGCTCAAGTGGTAGAGCACTCACATTGAGCTGAAGAGCTAAGGGACAGCGCCCAGACCCAGTATTCAAGCCCCACAAGCAACAACAACAAAAATATTTGGCTAGAAAGCCAAATATTTATGAGAAAGCTAGGTGGCGCTCTTTCTTCTTAATTGAAGGGAAGTCAGGTTTCTTAACTAGCAGCAGCCACGTTGGGCTCTCCTGTATCTACTTTATTTTTGTGGGAAGCTGTGTGGAGAAGAGTTGTGAAGGGCACTAGAGCTTCTGTCTACTTTGGCTGTTTTTTTGTTTTTGTTTTTTGTCACTTGTAGAGCTTGAGCTGAGGACCTGGGCGCTGTCCCTGGGCTCTTTTTCTCAAGACTAGCGCCCTACTACTTGGAGCCATAGGTCCACTTCTGATTTTTCTGGTGGTTATTGGAGATAAGAGTCTTACAGAAACTTTTCTGCCCATGCTGTCTTCGAACCACGATCCTCAGATCTCAGTTCTCTGAGTAGCTAGGATTATAGAGCTGAGCCACCAGCACCCTATTAGAACTTCAGCTGTTCTGATTGATGTTTCCCTTAAGTGTCTGTACACTCAGTGTTGTGTCCAGTCACTGCATAGACTGATGTTTGAAAAGGAGATTATTAGAAAGGAAGGTCATATGTGATTGGTGATAGTAAGACCCCCCCATCAGTCCAGAATAGAAATAAAGCAAATAAACCATTGATGTTAACAGCCATTAATCTTCCCCCTTTCCCATTTCTCTACCTGCTCTCTTCTATTTTCTTTCTTCTGGATGTTCAATTTTACATTTTTACTAAACAAGATCTTGTATCCCAGGATTAACAGCTGTAGAACTCAAGCATTAACAACTAAGAAGAAAGCCAAGTGCCAGTGCTTCACACCTGTAATCCTAGCTATTCAGAAGGCTGAGATCTGAGGAGTGCAGTTTGAACCCTGCCAGGGCAGGAAAGTCTGAGAAAGTCCATGAGACTCTTAACTCCAATTAACCACCAAATGCAGAAGTAGAGGTGTGGCACAAGTGGTAGAGTGCTAGCCTTGAGCATGAAAGCTGAGGCACAGTGCTCAGGCCCCAAGTTCAAACTCTAATATGTATGTACGTACACACACACACGCACACATACACATGCACTAAGAAGAAAGAAGAGTCCGTCTGCGGTTCTGTAAATGTTTTTTTCATCAACTAGGATCAGAAATGTTCACATAGGGCCTGTAATCTTACCTACTCGGGAAGCTGAAATCTGAGGGTTGCACTTTAAAGCCAGCCTGGGCAGGAAAGTCCATGAGACTCTTATCCCAATTGATCCGCAAAAAGCTGGAAGTGGTGCTGTGGCTCAAGTAGTAGTAGAGCACTAGCCTTGAGCAAAAAATGCTCAGAGATAGCACCCAGGGCCAGAGTTCAAGCCGCATGATGAGTTAAAAAAAGAAAAAAAAAACCAAAACAAGAAACCTCTACATAGTAGTTCCTCTTGACTCAGAGGGTACAGTCCAAATGCCTCATGAATAACTTATGCTGCAAATAATACTGAACCCTACATTTACAGTCTTACTTATACATGCATGCATGTATGCATATGTACATACTTACACACACAAGATTAAGTTTAGGGGGCTAGGAATGTGGCTTAGTAGAGTACCTACTCTACTACACAAACAAAAAAATAAATACCTAAAAATTAAGTTTAGATTTATAAGTTAGTGACAGCAAGCCCCCTTTTTTTTGCTTAAGGCTAGTGCTTTAACACTTGATCCACATCTCCAGTTTTGGCTTTTTGAGGGGATGTGCTTCATTGGAGATAAGAGTCTCATGGACTTTGCTGCCCAGGCTGGCTTTGAACTGCGACTTCAGGTCTCAGCTTCCTGAGTAAGTTAGTCAGCACCCATCTAAAATTTTTTTTTTGTTTTTTGTTTTTTGGTTTTTTTGCCAGTCCTGGGGCTTGAATTCATGGCCTGGGCACTGTCCCTGAGTCTCTTTATGCCCAAGGCTAGCATTCTACCACTTGAGCCATAGCACCACTTTTTTTCTGTGGAGGTAAGAGCCTCACAAACTTTTTCTGCCTGGGCTGGCTTTGAACCATGATCCTCAGATCCCAGCCTCTTGAGTAGCTAGGATTACAGGCGTGAGTCACCAGCATCCAGCTAAAAAAAATTTTTTTTGAGAGAACTTTTTCCTTAATATTTTCATATTGTGGTTGGCCAGGAGTAATCATCAAAGTTAACAAGCAATGCCGCTGTATGCAGGGTTGCTGAGCGGAGGAGGGAAGGGCTGTGTGGCTTATTTCATACCTTCCTGCTTTTATGCCTGAGTACAGTTGGGATCAGTGAGTGGAAAGAAAAAAAAAGAAACACACAGTGGTTCTGAACTGCAGAATCATGTGACCTTTTAAACTGGGAACACAATGGTTGAGCAGAGTGTCCCCTTTTATTTGACCTCAGTGTTTATACCAAGCTCATGATAAAAAAAAAAACCTTAAAGGTCAATAACCCATCTGATAAAGCAGTGACTTGATTTGACCCTTGATATCAAAGGCTTGTCTCATGATAAGTACTTTGACTAGATTTTTCTGGAGGATGCCTGAATTGAGTCAGACATTCTGCCGACAGTCTTCTTGTGATCCTCAGGTACAAACCTCTCCTGCCTTTTAGAGCCTCTCTTTTCCAGGCAGGATCATCCGGAAGTTGACACTTTGATTTAAGGCCTACAGGGGTCACCTTTTCCTGCCTATGACAAAATGCCTGAAATAATTAACTTACAAAGAGAAAGGGTTCACTTTGGAGAATCTAGCTCGTGCCAATCAGCCCTGGTGCTTTGGATCTGTGACAAGCCCATGGTGGCGTGAGTGTGCCACAGAGCAAGCTTCTTATAGAATGAGCCCAGAAACAGAGAAGACTGGAAGAGAGACTGAGGCCCAACAGTTAGCTTGGAAGGTACAACCTGAATGACCTAAAGGTCTTCCACAAGGTCGCACATTTTAAAAGTTACACCACTTCTTAATAGCAGCATCTGGAGACCAGTCTTTAAACACATGAGCCTTTCATTCATGACCATCATTCAAACTATAGTAAGGATGCCTAGGACCTTCCCCACCATTCTCCCCCTCCCCCAACCCCCCCACCTCCATCAGTCACAGGGCTTGAACTTTTAGGGCCTGGGTGCTGTCCCTGTGCCTCTTTATATGCTCAAGGCTAGCATTTTCATTATTTTATTTATGCTTGTATGTGCACGCACACCCAAGCTCCCACTAGTGGAACTTGAATTCAAGGCTCCACGCTCTTGCTTAGCTTTTTCTTCTCAAGGTTGGCACTCTACCACTTGAGCCATAACTCTACTTCTGGCTTTTTGCTAGTAAGTGTCTCTTGGATTGGTCTGCCTATGCTGGCTGCAAACTATGATCCTAAGATCTCAGTCTCCTAAATAGCTAGGATTACAGGCATCAACCCTCAGCACCCAGCTCTGGCCTGGCTTTAGGGGCTTGCTCCTTAACAGGATCAGCCTTGAATACAAAAGGCAGCAGTGTCTCACCCCTGTCTCACCCCAGGATCCCAATTGAATCACCAGCAATGCTCCTTCTGTACTTCTCTTCCATGTGTGCTGTTACTGGATGTCTTCCTGAGCAGTTGATTTTCCAAGCCTGTTTGCTTGTACTACATCCAGTGTAACTCGCTAGCATTTCTGCATTCCAACTTTCCATGCCTCCTATTTTGATCAACTCCTTCCAGTATGCTTAAATTTTAATAGGATATAGATTTTTTATCTTACTTTTTGAATTTTTTTATTGTTCTTATAAAGATGATATACAGTTACATAGACCAAGTAGTGAGTACATTTTGTTGTTGGTGGTGGTGGGTTTGAACTCAGGACCTGGGCACTGTCCCTGCACAATTTTGCTCAAGGCTGGCACTCTACCACTTTGAGCCACAACTCCAGGTTCAGTTTTTGAGTGGTTTCTTGGATATAAGAGTCTCATGGGGCCTATTTTGCCTGGGCTGGCTTTGAACTATGATTCTCAGTTCTCAGCCTCCTGAGTAGCTAGGATTATAGACATGAGCCACCCAGACCTGGCAAGAACATTTCTTTTTCAATAGTATCACCCCTTCCCTCTCCCAGTTTTCCCCTACCATTCCCATCGACAAGTTGTATAGTTCATTTTCTATATAGTGTCTAGTGAGCACCCCTAATATTTGCTCACCCTTTGTGTGGGTATAGACTTAGTCTGAAGTTCCCAATTGAACTCATCATTGTTTCCCATTCTATCATGTGGTTTCCATACCCTAACCCAGGTACTCTCTCCTGAGCCCCCTGCCCACAGCAGGAAAAGCCAGATGCCACACGCAGTTCTGGGGCATGTTTTTCTGGCCATTTTTTAAGTTCTCAGTACAATCTCTAGTCTGTTATTTTCAAACTTATAAGAGTCTCCGCTCCACTATTTAACTACAGATGATCAGACATTAAGGCAGCTATTTGTATACTTGAGTCTATCCACTTAACACAAGATACCCATGCACTGTAGAATATTAGTGGTATGCAGCCGAACCAAATAGCAACTATTCAAAAGCCCCTGGTCTTGTGGAAAAAGGAGAGTAGCTTTGATCTGCTTTTTAGCTTATAGCGGTGGTGAAGTCATAGGTTATTAATATTTCTAAAAGCTTTGCCTAAGGACACAGTACCACCAAAACATATTGTTAGTAACACAATGAATAATTAAAAACCTGTCAATGGAACCAGCCGATACACTGAATAGAATTTAGTTCAAGGAGTCTCTCCTTGGATTCTTTTTGACTTTTGAGGTTCCAAGGGGGGTGGGGGAGAAAATTTACACCCTGGTAACCTTTCTAAGTGTCACACAATGTGATAGAAATATGGTTTAATGAGCTGGTAATTTTTTTCTACTGGCTCTTCTTGCGTCATTCAGCTCAACGGAGACTCTCAGGCAAAAATACAACGGATACTCCGGTTGATTTCCGGTGGTGGCCTGTCCATCACTGGATCACACATCCTGTGTGGAGACTTCCTCTTCAGCGGTCACACGGTCATGCTGACGCTCACTTATCTGTTCATCAAAGAATGTAAGTAATACCTCCCACCCTCTGGGTTGATCACCATGGTGGGAGGCATACCGAGGCCCTGAAGTGGATAGACATCCTTATTCTACCAAGATCAATAGCTATGAGACAGATATAAACACTGCATGTATGTGTATGTGTGTTCACTCATGATGTGAACATTGAAGTCAAAATCAGGCTGTGGTTTCACTCCGTCATTTATCGTGCCCCTCTAAACAGCTCCCTTTCTGGTTAATACTTCTTTTTCTTTTCTGCTGGTCCTGAGGCTCAAACTCAGGACCTAGGCACTGTCCCTGAGCCTCTATTGTGCTAAAGGCTAGAGCTCAACCACTTGAGCCACAGTGCCACTTCTGGCCTTTTCTGAGTAGTTTATTGGAGATAGAGTCTTAAGAGACTTTCCTGCCTAGACTGGCTTCAAAATATGATCCTCAGATGTCCAGCCTCCTGAGTACCTAGAATTACAGGCATGAGCCACCAGTGCCTGGCTTGTTTAATACTTCTTTTTTTTTTGGGGGGGGGGGAGGTCCAGTCGTGGGGCCTGAACTCTGGGCCTGGGCGCTGTCCCTCAGCTCTTCAGCTCAAGGCTAGCACGCTACCACTTGAGCCACAGCTCCACTTCTGGCTTTTTTTCTTTTTGCTTATGTGGTGCTGAGGAATTGAACCCAGGGCCTCAGGCATGCAAGGCAAGCGCTCTACCAGTGAGCCACCTTCACAGCACTGTTTAATACTACTTAAGGTATGGAAAGCTATCTCAGTGTTGGAACTAGGTAGAACATATACATGAAATTTCCTGCACAAAGAATCGGTCCATTATTTTTCTGTTTTCCACTATAAATTTAACTCCCCTCCTCAAAAGCAAAGCCAGATGCAAACAACTTCTAGAACCAAATATAAAGGGTACTATCATTGAATGACTGCAAATAATTCAGTGAAGGTTTTCTCCCTTAAAATATGTTTCTTCGTACTGCTTTATTGTCCCGTTTTCCAGCCAACTCTGCTTTACAAGCCATTGGTATATTTGTGTGAAATGCACACACACGTGCAGGTGCTGGTGCTTGAACTCAGGGCCTTACCATCTTACTTAAACTTTTTTACTCAAGCCTGCCACTACTTCTTGAGCCATACCTCCACTTTTAACTTTTTGTGGATTAATTGGATTTGAACTGTGACCTTCAAATCTCAGCCTCCCAACTATCAGGAGCCACTAGTGCTTACTAGACACCGATCACTTTCTTTTTAAGAAACTTGAAGACAAGAAATTGAAATGTCTTTCCATATTTATATACTTACTTCTCATCACGAAATCCTTTTATTTTACAGTACCTTTTTTCTTCTTTCGTTTTTTGAGACAAAAGCCTCATTAGATACCCCATACTGGTCTTGAACTTGTGCTCTTCCTGCCTCTGGCTTCCAAGTACTTTCTAGTAGATGGTGCAGACAAACTATTACTTAGTTCAGTGTAGGGATGTTCCTGTCTGGTCTGCCTAGCAGATTCCATTTGTACAGTTCTTTGAGCTTTGGGACTGTTATTTCCAATTTGTCTCATCTTTCTTCACATTTGAGAAGCTGTTGAGTGTTTATCATCTTTCGTAAAATGCTCCATGCCACAATGTTTAGATTCAGTCTTTGTCACTTAGCATGTATAAAAGGACATCTTTAGGTAAAGACTTATAGACAGAGTCCAATCTGCCTCCCTTGTCTTTGATTTTTCTTCCTCTCAGCCTTTCATTAATTCAGATAGATTTAACTAAAAATGGGGAACTTCATTGTCCTTGACTTAAAGATCAAGGTCATTCTGTACCTGTCCCTTATTTCTACTCAGTGGGGGGCTGGAGACCTAAATCTGTCTCAGCACCAACATCAGGGGATGGTCTCATCTTTAAATTTTACTAACACAATTCTAATTGATTATTGGTTATGGATTCTGAAGGTATGTGTGGTTTATGGTTCTCACTCTTAACCCTTATCTAGGGAAGTTCTATCTGTACATAGGCTCAATTATTTTCTGGTCCAGAGGTACATTTGGACCTAAGGTACAGAGTTATGTTCGGATCTTCTCTCTAATCCTGAGGATGGTTACAAGCTTCTAAAGAAGGAGGATGAGTAGGGTTGCAAGTCACAGTGAAGGCACTATGGGTAGAAAACCAGAAACTAGAGCCATACAAGTAGCTCATGCCTATAATTCTAGTTACTCAGGAGGCTGGGATCTGCAGATTGCGGTTCAAAGCCAGCCTGGGAAGAAAAGTCCATGAGACTGTTACCTCCAATTAACCACCAGAATACCCAAAGTGGCTGTGGCTCAAAGTAGTAGAGCACTGCCTTGAGTAAAAGAGCTCAGACACAATGTCCAGGCCCTAAGTTCAAGCCCCATCACTGACAGAGAGAGAGAGAGACAGAGACAGAGAGAGACAGAGACAGAGAGAGACAGAAACACAGAGAGACACAGAGAGAGATAGAGAGAGACAGAGAGAGACAGAGACAGAGAGACAGAGACAGAGACAGAGAACCATAAAGTAATGAAAACACTCCAGGAAAATTAAGGGCCAGTTCTCTAAAACAACTGAAAACCAATTGCTATTAACAACTTCCATACCAAGCACTATTTAAGCTCTGGATGCAAATTAAGTCATTTATTCCTTGCCATCTCTCCATAAGGGGATCATTATTTCCCCCATTTTCTCTACTTAGGGTAGAGAAAGTGACCAGGCTATTGTCCGTGGCTAGTATTCAGACTCAGACAGGTTGACTCAGAGGTCACGCTCTTAATTTCTCATCTGTTTAGTTTTTTTTTTTTTTTTTAATTTCAGTTGTCTAGTCTTAAAGTATTGCCCAGGAATAGTCTCTTTATCTATGAATAGGATATATTTCTTATTATTTTCTTCCCCTTACCTCAGAGCAATAGCAGATTGATTTTATACTTAGATGAAGGACCTATGGGATGTCTCAACATTTTTCTTCTATAACATGATTTTGACTTGGGTTCTTTAAATGACTTTTAGTAGCATATAGCAGTTATACAAGAAGGGTTTCATTTGTGACATTTCAATTTATACACACAATATAGCAATCAAACTCAACCCCTCCATCTCCAACTCTTTCCCTCCTTCACTTTCCTCCTAGTTTTCTGTCTCGTGTGTGTGTGTGTGTGTGTGTGTGTGTGTGTGTGTGTGTGTGTGTGTGTGTGTGTGTGTACAGGTCCTGGAGTTTGAACTAAGGGTCTGGGCACTGCTTAAAGGCTAGCACTCAACCACTTACTTGAACCTTGGTCCTTGGTGCTACTTCTTTTTTTTCTGGTGGTTTTGGAGATATGAGTCTCACAGTCCTTCCTGCCTGGGTTGGCTTTGAACCACAATCCTCAGGTCCTGTAGATAGGATTACAGGTGTGAACTACTGGGCTCGGCCAACACTTGGTTATAAACCTTGTCACCACTGCAAGTTCACTGTCATGACTATTTAATGCCACGATCTCAGACAGTGAAATTCATCGTTATTTGTGTTGTCCTCTTTTAGCTTTGATATTACCCCTATGGGTGGTAGGAGAGCAGGAAGGATTGCCATTTTACCATTTCTACTTCAGAATAAGCTTCTCAGAGGCAGGAGTGAGAGTGTATACATGTAATCCCAGCATTGGGGAAGCTGAAATTAGGAGAATCATAAGCTTAAAGTCAGCCCAGGTTTCATAGGAAAACCCTATCTCAAAACAAATGAAGCATTTCTATGGGATCACTCTTAGGGGTGGGGTGGTCAGCTAGTGTTCTCAATGGGTAGTGGTCTCAATGTAGTAACACCATAGAAATTCCATATCTATTGGGAGAGTACTTCCAGAGTACTGTCCATCCATTCTTAAAATTCCACAGGCAGTAAAAGGACTATCCCAGGCCACTTCCTTACCTACTTCAGTTTGTTTCTTCTCATGAACAATACCAGTTCACAATAGTTCTGGTGAGCCCAAACATGTTGCACTAATATTAAGTGAATGCTGGCCCACAGGCAGGAAAAAAAGGGCTGGTGTGGGACTCCAGGAGGGCTAGAAATGAAGTCAGTGAGACCTCCAGCCTTCAGTGGTGTTTCAGGTGTTAACACTCTTGAACCTAACAGAATAGTAGTGGATAGGGACTGGTTAAGGATTCTGTGAGCTGTCTTGGAGAATTTAATGACAGAGCAAAGTAATTGAAAAATAATGACGAGCATTGGAACATGTTAAAAAAAATCAGACCTTCAAATATCAATTCAGGATTGTTTTCTTACTCTTCTACTTGTACATGAATGATAACTGGGCATTTTGGAAATGCATCCATCCATTTGCTCTTCAACCCTTCTTCTGCACTGGCAAGTATATATCACTGAGAAGATGATTAAATGTGAAATAAATGTCAGTTATTGGATGATTAAACTTAGAGTGTGAGTCAGTAAAGCGCTGGAAAGTTTTAAAGAATGGGAAGAAACAGATGACCAAGTAATTAGAGATGAACCCATTCCAGTGTCTCTGTAATTCATACCTGTGTAGGAAGGCCAGAGGGTGTGTGGACATGTAAATACACCACCAGCTGTGGTTCTCTCTCATCCTGTCAAAGATGGGAGCTCATCAGGAAGGCTAAAATGTCTGTCCATGCATGGGCAGGAATCCTCAGCTTGTTTTTGTTGTTGATGCCAGTCCTGGGACTTGTACTCAGGGCCTTGGTGCTGTCCCTGAGCTTTTCTGCTCAAGGGTAGCACTCTACCCCTTTGAGCCACAACTCCATTTCCAGTTTCTGGGTGGTTAATTGGAGATGAGTCTCATGGACTTTCCTGCCAGAAATGTGAGCCTCAGATCTCAGCCTCCTGAATAGCTAGAATTACAGGCAAGAACAAAACAAAGCACAAAAACAGAATGTCACTATGTACCACCCATGTACCTACTTGTGAACTTACTATATAGCCTAGGGTAGTCTCAGATGTATAAACCTTCTGCCTCAGCCTACCAGGAGCAGGGATTAGAGGTGTGTGCCTCCATATACATTCTGAGATATTCACAGAGCCTATCAGTGGTGTTATTAGCAATAGCAGTGGAGAATTTCTGAAAATCAAAATATTGCATGCCACCGTGCTATTCTGAAACTCTACCCCCAAACACACTTGGAGAAATAAAGGTAAATTTAACACCTGAAATTATTCCTACCTTCTGATTATCTTTAGAGACATTTTTCTTTCTAATGGGGGCCGCTTACATGACCCAGGCTAAGCCAATTCCAGCCAACCTCGTAAACAATTCTGTTCACTTTCTGATTTTTTATTCATTTATTTTTATTAGCGTAAATTAACTGTACCAAGGCGTTTCATTGTGGTGTTTGCATACAGGCATAGAACGTATTTTGATCAAGACCTAGACTAGTCACCACTGGGCCTGGCTATACCAGTGAATGATTACAACACCTGCTACCATTGTTTCCCTCCTCCCCCTTCCTACCTGATCAAATCCGTGCTTTCAGAGTGACTCATTTGGGGTGAACAAATTTCTCCTTCTACAACTAAACTAAGGTCATGAAGATAAACTAAATCATTAAATTTAAGTTAATCTCTGGGGATTGGAGGGGAGGGATGGAATGTCCAGTATAGAACATGTGCTTAGCATGGCGGTAGGCGCTGGGATATGGCCCTACCACACCCCATAGAAATGAGTGAAATAATAACTTCATCTCTGGGAATTCTATTCACTCTCTGACTTTCTACTGTGCAGATTCGCCTCGTCACTTCTGGTGGTACCACTTGATCTGCTGGCTGCTGAGCGCTGCTGGGATTATCTGTATTCTCGTGGCGCACGAACACTATACTGTTGATGTGATCGTTGCTTATTATATCACCACGCGCCTGTTTTGGTGGTACCATTCAATGGCCAATGAGAAGGTGAGAGCAGCCAAGATCCCTGGGTGATTTCTTTACACACAGTGGGGTCTTCCTCAGACAGGTAGGGATTCATGGTAGCTTACTGGGAGTCACAGCAGTTACCACCCAGGATGTGGATTGGGTAAATTCACAGGAACTTATTACAGCCATGACTGCTTCTTAAAGCAAATTAAAGAACTTCATAAACACAGTGCCACTGGAGAACTTACGATGTTACAGAGCTCATTGGGGATTTGTTGCTGTTGTTTGTTTTTACTAATTTTGAAGAAATATATGTGCTAAATTTAAATTCAGGAGCCTTCCCTGTGGAAGTCTTGTAGGACAGCTTAGAAGAATTTAATTTCAAAGAATTTAATTTTGAAGGAAAGATGGTAGCTGGTTTTAAAAAACCAAAAAGATAGCTTTTAAAATAATGAATTGAGTATGCCCTTGGGTGATTGGTGTCTTCTGCCTTCTCTTCTTATCTTAGATTATTGATACTTCCACTTCCAGGTGACCTTTAACTTCTTTTCGCATTCATTCTTAAAAAGATCACTGCAGTGGCCCTCAACTTTTCCTCTAGGCCCAAAGTCAACGTATTTTCCTAGCCCTGACACTGTATCCTTGGCAGAGTATAGTTGGTGTGTGCACCATGGTGATGGCTTACCTTTGAACAGTCTTTACAATGCTTTCTGCAATTAATAGTCATTCCTGAAGAAGCTACATCAAACTCTGCATATCTACCAATCACCGATTCCTTGATTTCACCAATCACTGCCCATTTGGTGAATTCCTTGTTTTCTTTCTGTAGGCCTATTTCTTATTCTGTAGTCTCCCGTTCTCTTCTGCCTTCTTACACTTTTACCTTGCTATGCCTCCTTGCTCCATTGAACCAAAATTTTCATCTTTCTCCTATTTACTCAGCCTCCTAAGGTGTCCTTCCACTTCTTTTTTTTCTTCAAAAACTGAAGCTTCATAATTCCATTTCCTGGACCTTCCATGCATTTTTGCCCGGCCCCCTGACTTCCACATAGCCTGAAAAGCCTTCCTCCGGAACAGTAACTTGTATCTCCATCCCTGAGACCCTGCTCTCACTGGAACTGCAGGCAGAGGACACTGTGTGAACCCCAAAGAAAAAAAGGGTGACTTATTGCCTAGAGTCATGCAGTTAGGGAAAAGCAACAACTGCCATAGATCTGTTTTCAGCTTCCCTTGTTAATGTACAATGAATGTCTAATAGGGGGAAAAAATAGGGTCTGGCCAGACATGGGGGCTCACACCTATAATTCTAGCTGCTCAGGAGACTGAGGTCTGAGAATCTTGGTTTGAAGCCAGCCTAGGCAGACAAATCTGAGAGACTTGTCTCCATTTAACCAGCAAAAACCCAGACGTATAGGTGTTATTCACATGGTAGAGCACCAGCTGTAAGCAAAAAAAAACCAGGGAGATCTCAAGGCCTTGAGTTTATAAGTTCAAGCCCCAGTCCAGGCAAAAAAAGATAGATAGATAGATAGATAAGTAGGTAGATAGATAGATAGATAGATAGATAGATAGATATTCTAAATGACAGAATTTTCATTTCACTTTTTTATCTCAACTCTTCACAGAACTTGAAGATCTCTTCACAGACTAATTTTTTGTCTCGAGCTTGGTGGTTCCCCATTTTCTATTTTTTTGAGAAAAACGTCCAAGGCTCAATTCCCTGCTGCTTCTCCTGGCCACTCTCCTGGCCTCCTGGCTGCTTCAAGTCATCCTGCAAAAAGTATTCCCGGGTGCAGAAGATCGGTGAGGACAATGAGAAGTCTACCTGAGGAGCCAGAGAGACGCACCAGCTCTTACACCAAAAGAGTTTCACGCTGTAACCAAAGGTATAGCTTTGTTGTTTATTTCAGGAGAACTGACTGGTAAATGAAGAAGTGGACCAAATTTTGTGTGAATGCTTGGAAAGATGAACGAAGTATTACCTTTTGACTGGTTTTTTTTAAAACAAAAATTCATCCTGAGAAAGATATATTTTCTTGCAGCTCCTCATTCATGGGTAACAAGCCCCCACAATGGGATTTTAAAGAGGTGCCAAAGAACCTATTATTCCTCTCCTCATTCTTTCTCTACTAAAGTCTTCTATCTACTTCAGCCATTGTTTTTTTCAGGATTGTTTTCTTTCAAGGTCAGAAGAATTTGTTAATGTTTTCAATAAAATATCTGGATATATACAGCCGTGTGTAAAATACAGTAACCTAATGTCGAGAAGAGTTTTTGAACTTGAAGCTCTGTGAGGAGAAATCCATGGCTAGGAAAGTTCAAGTGCACTTTGTTGGACTCTGTCACAGCGTAGGCCAGAGTGGTGTCTGTGTCTGCCCTCTGCTGGTACCACCCAATGTACTACGTATCACTTTTACTTTTTTTTTTTTTTAACTGATGTAATCTTTTTTCAAAAAGAAAGATGATCCAAGGAAATATAAGAGACTGATCACCCATAAGTGTGTGTGTGTGTGTGTGTGTGTGTGTGTGTGTGTGTGTGTGTGTGTACATGTATCTGTGCCAGTACTGGGGCTTGAATTAAGGGCTGGATGCTGTCCCTTAGCTTTTTCACTCAAGGCTGGTGCTCTATCACTTGAGCCCCACTTCCACTTCTGGCTTTTTGATGGCTAATTGAAGATACTAGCCTCATGGACTTTCCTGCCCGGGATTGCTTCAAAATGAAATCTTCAGATCTCAGCCCTCTGAGTAGCTAAGATGATAGGAATGAGCGCCCAACTCAGCCATGGATTTCTCATGTGTGCAAATATTTCAGTCAAGTCTGTATGACAGATCCCCAGGAGGTATGGGATTCTTTGTGCTAAGAAGTGGTTTGGTGTACACACTTAAGATACCTGCCTGGCACATTTGTACCTAGAACTCCAGAGCTGCATCAGAACAGGCTGAAGGCAGTTGGAGAATAAGTATGTATTTCACTTCCAGCTCAAACCCTAACAGGATGTCTTGTCTTGCCTTTTCTTTTTTCTTTCCTTTCCTTTCCTTTCCTTTCCTTTCCTTCCTTCCTTCCTTCCTTCCTTCCTTCCTTCCTTCCTTCCTTCCTCTCCCCCCACCCTCTCTTTCTCTGTCTTTTGAACTCGGGAAAACATTTGATTAACACTATTTCTTCTTAGATACATAGTGCTTTATGGAAAAAGTAAGATGGCACCTGCAGGTTTAACATCTTCTTGCCTTTTAGCAAGAAACAAGGCTCCTCATAAATCGTTACTAAGGACTGAGCAATTGGATGTTTTACCCTGTGAAAATAACACATTCTGCTACACTTCAGTGTGCTATTGGAATCATCAGCTACAAAAAAAGGGGCTGGGATAATTACTACTAAGTTTCTTTGGGGCGATGCAAAAAAAAAAAAAGATGGATTAAAAGAATCTGATCACACAATACTGGCAGAGTTAGTATATTATTTCATGGTATTGAATCTATCGGGCAATTCTCGGGTTAATTTCTCAACTACTTGGAAGTTAAATTCTAATAACCTTAGAAAAAGTTCTAAGGTTATAAAATCAATGGGAGAATAGAGGGTAAAGATGCCAACAGGGATGGGGAGGTGGTTATATGTCTATTGGAGGTGAAACTTCCTCTTAGAGCAGAAAACACCTCTAATTTATCCTTACCCACCAGTTCGTATCAGCCTTGATTATACAAAATTGAACCTTCAATTGCTTGAAAAAAAAAAAAAAAGAAGCACAATACAGATCTGCTCAGAGCGACATCATCCTTTGGTGCTAAAATTCTGTGTATGTTTTCAGAGTGGCTTTTCCTCTGAACAATGCAAGGACCACTAAAGGAAGCTTAGTTCATTTCAAAGGCAGGAAAAGACCCTCAAATTCTGTTTTAAGAATTGGAAACGAATGGAATTGGAGGCATGCATGGCTCATGATGTGGATGCTGGCCAAAGAACAAAAGCAAGCCTCAGGTAGCAAGTTCAAGTCCCCATCTTGGACCAAAAAAAAAAGAAACTTCAAATATCTTTGAAAGGTTTTGAAAGACAAGGCATTTTCCAGTAATTTTATTCAATAAACCTATAATAAGTGTATGCCTAGCTTACTGGATGTGCTTAGGCAGAATTCCATGGAATTTGTTCACTTATTAAATATTGATTATTGTGATAGAACATGACATTCTGTTGGAAACACTGATTTTTAAATGACTGTTGTCTGATTCTGAGGGGAAAACATCTGAAACCAAAGTCTGGGTTTTTCTCCCTGAACCTCTTTCAAAATAAATAATATAATAGACCCAAGAGTCTTTATTTAGGTGTTAGATTGTCCCACTTTTTTTTTCTTCCATTAAATGAGGGAAAGTGCTTAAGTTTTCATGCACTGATTATCGGACACTCTCAAAAAAAGTAAGTCTAAATAATCCAGCTTCAAGTAAATAATGCATCACCTTCAATAGGACTTTTTAATTTTATTTTTGTGTCAGTGCAGGGGCTTGAACTGAAGACCTCATGCGCTCCCTTTGCTTTTCCTGCTCAAGGCGGGTGCTCTACCACTTGAGCCACACCTCCACTTCTGGCTATTACCTAGTTAATTGTATATAAGATTCTCACAGACTTTTCTGCCCAGGCTGGCTTTGAACCTCAGCCTTGTGAGCAGCTAGGAATACAGGTGTGAGCCACCAATACCCAGTCTAAAGGAGTTTAAATCTACCTGTTAACGCCATCTGTAGGGTCCTCCCATGTTTTCTGCATGTCATAGCAGTCTCATAGGTGCAGAGGACGCTTGTGACTTGAAAATAATAGAGAAAGGTAGCACAGGTTCAAAGCAGGCGAGATTAAGAGAACTAAGCTTATTTACATGAAACCTAACCCAACATGCTGTTTGGGATATAAATATAAGCAATTACAGTGTTGCCTTTGACGTGGTAATGTTTATCTTTTTGAGATGGAGTCTCCCCATGTAGCACAGGCTAGCCTTGAATTCATAATCCTCCTGCCTCAGCTTTTTCAAGTGCTGCAATTGTAGGCCTATGCCACCTGCCCAGATAACACACCTTTTCATTGCCAGTTGAGTTACAGATCTTACCCATTACTCATGTTTTTGTAATCCCATGCTTCTATTTGGAGCTTCTTCTGTAAACCCGTCTGAGAAATATATCTATAATACATAGCTTCTATAAATTATACCACACTTATTTCTAACTGTTTCCCATGGAAATGAAGTTTTGGCAGATTCTGAGCGCCTCCACTAGATCTGAAAAGAAAGCACCCCAGTTTCCACTGAATTAATTGTGAAGGTGTCGAGTAATTTATGGGCATCTTGGGAAACAAGTTTAGCTGTAGGAGGAGGAGAGCTGTTGGGGAGTGAGTTTTGAAGTCTCTGGCTAATGGACCAGGCCACATGAGAATTCTTCGCTGTTTTACCAGTGCCCCCTGGTGGCAGTATGGAATTACATCTTGAAATGCAGCTGTTACTTTAAAACAAGTTTTTAGATTGTTATTATAAAGACGATGTACAGAGGAGTTAGTGTTGCATAAATCAGGTAAAGAATACATTACTTTTTGGACACCCTTTCCCTTGCCCTCTCCCAGATTTTCCCTCCCATTCCCACTCACAAGTTGTATAGTTCATTTTCAACATAGTGTCCAGTGCGTACCAAGTTGGGTTTTTTTTTTCAGACATTTGTCAATTTTGCCAATAATCTGGACATACCATGGGGAAGGAATTATTTTAACCAGAGAGTTAGAGTGAAATTGTAACTCTAATCCTTTGTCCATTTGTTCAAAGAAAATTTGCAGTCCATTTTTACCTCTTCCTATCACAATCATTAATGTCTCCCTTTATAACTTCATACAGTCTGTTTACTTTAAAATCCCAAGTTGGCTGCCTTTGTATTTTTTTCAATTTACATACTCGAACTCATAGTTTCTTTCATAACTGAAAGGTCCCATCCATGTACCTTGAATATTTTGAACATCATTTTCCTTTTGTTGTTGTTTTGTACTGTATAACTGATAAAAAATAATTTAAGACGGTCAATACACTTCTGCAGTGTAAGGAAGTGTGAGAAGGAATTTCGTGATAAATGAGTTTACATGTTTAAATCAAGTATATTGTAAATTATATGCAACGTCTTGAAGGCTTTTCTACTTATATGTATAAAGATTCCTGAAATTTTTATTATTGTCATTGTGTTATAGTAATTTATCTCCTTTGACTCAGTTGCTAAAAAAAATCTTTTATGAAGTGCTCTTGACTTTAATATCCAAACACTGAAAATTATGTCAAAGGTACCCAAAGATAAGTTTTTATACAGCTTCTAAGTTCTAGTTTATTTTATTTTCAGTGAGCTAATTCTACTGTTCTCTAAATGGGGAAGAATGCATTTTTGTAGGATTATTTTGAACCGTCCTTGGAAATAAAAGAGGAAACTAGAAACATAAGCTAATCTACTTGCCAAGTTGGAGTTCATTGTTTAATTTACCTCCATTACAGTGGTTAATGCTGCGAAGTAAATGACTAAGTTACAGTATGTTCACAAAAGAATTATTCTGACAAGATTTGAGACAGTAGCCAGTTGTATTCCTTTGGAATTTTACTGTACTGTTTTCAATATGTTAAGTGCCTTGATGTAAAGTAAAAATTTTAAGTGTAGAACTTATCATTTTCCTGACATACTATTTTTTCATTATGATATCTACGGTATGCTGTTGGAGTTGTTTTATTAAATGCTTCCATTTTAATCAAATATGTAAATCTCAGAATTTTTTTTTCCTCAGTACCTTAAATCATTGATCAATCATGGGATTTGAATTCAGGTTCTTTTTTTTTTTTTTAAATAAAAGAGGAAAATGACTTTCCTTGCTTGTATTTTTGTGTTTATAAAAACATTTCAGGAGTTATTTAGGAGTCTATAATTTAAACTTTGAAAATGCCATTTTACATTTACATTTTAAGTGCCTAATTATTGGTTACAATGAATTTATGTTTCTGTTCAAAAAGGAGTATGTGTACTTGTATCTAATTTCTTTACTTTTGCTTTAAAAAGATGAAAAAAATTGCAAGAGCCTATACTTTGTATTTACCCAATAAACCGCAGTGACATCAACAGTCTTTCCAAAATTAGTATTACTGCTTCTTTCCATCTTTAAAAAAGAGTGTTACAAATTTACTTAGAGAACTCATGAAACCCACAAGAGGAGGGCCAGGCATGACACTGCATGCCTGTAATTCTAGCCACTCAGGAGGCAGAGTTTGGAAGGATCACCGTTGGAAGCCAGCTCAGATTTTTTTAAAAAGCTAGCAAAATAGCATCTCAGCCAATAACCTAGGCATAGTAGCACTTGCTTGTCATCACAGCTCCACAAGAATTGTCATTAGAGGCCAAAAAGCTAGCAGGATCCATCTCAGTATAATATCAGCTTGGTAGCACTTGCGTGTCATCCCAGCTACACGGATGGAGATGGGGGAGGGAGGGGA